CTTGCCGAGAAGAGAGTTGACCTCCAATTTAGAAATACGAGCATATTTTGATAATTAGAATGTAACTCATTCAGATTAGAACTGATTTTGAGGAGTTTTCAGGAAAAACAGACTTTAAAAGGTACTAATTTGGGGGCTCTAGGAGTTAAATGGTAACTGATTAGGGTTGGGTTCGATTCCTCTCTCCTTTGTTTGTTTTTGTTTTTGTTTTTGGTCTTTGTGGAAATCTTCAAAATGTTCCGAACACATTTTTCAAAAAAAAAGTTCATTTTGATACTGAAAAATTTTACTTTCTTAAATGTTTTAAGTAATATCTAGTTTTTGACTATTAAGTAGGAAATTCGACGCCTTACAAAAGTGGCTCAAACTTTTTCGCTTTGTCTGAAATTGCTAGAGTATACTAAACAATACTAGCGCTTCACTTTTGTTGTTGACACTTTTTTCTGAAAATCGGGTCCTGGGGAGATATGCCACGTGGAAGACACCAAGGCGCGCCGCCTCCCCCCCCCCCAGGGTGGGGGGGGGGGGGGGGGTGGAGGTTCTTTCCGCGCGTGGCATATCTCCTTAGGACTAAACTTTCAGAAAAAAGTGTCAACGACACAAATGTAGGCTCTAGTCTTGTTGAACAAATCGAAACAGAACAAACTACTTTCGTATAATTCTCAAAGTTCTAAAAATTCTAAAACTCCAAAAAATATCTTAAAATGCCCGAAAAAAGCTGTTTTTGAGTAATTTTCTTGAATCCTTACCCAATTTCATAGCCTTTTCCCTTTGAAATGGTCTAAAATATTTTAGGAAAAAGAAAAAACAAACCAGTAGACAATTAGAAAATGAATTCTAAATTCCAAATTTGGAGAAGACAAGATGGTGGAGAAGAGGGGAAAATGGAATTGCCCAAAAAGAATGGGGGACAAAAGACAATAGGAAAAGGGACGAAATGAGAATAAAAGAGTCCATAAAATTACCATTTTCAAAGAGAAGAAATGGAAAATCCAACAAAAAAAAAGAGGGAAAATCCTTGAAATCCCTGAAATCCCTGAAATCCAAATTAAGGGATTGTGATCTTTAAAAATCGGAAATATATAAATTTTTTTAAAAAAATATTTCAAAAAGACAAAAAGAGAAGATAGGCAAAAAATATTAAAATTTCCAAAAGTTAAAAAAAAATGTTTCAAACTGAATTTCAGATTATTCGAATTTCAGGAATTCCAGGTTTTCTAGATAATCAATATTTGAGATTTGGAATTTTCAAAAAAAAACGTTCAGATTTGGCAGAAAAAGCAAACTACAAAGGTTTGACAAAAAACTCTCCCACTTCAAACCCCCCCCCCCTCTTCACAAAATTATGACCTCACAAAAAAACCTTTGCAGCTATTGAGACTTTTTTCTAGTTTCACAAAAAATGATGTTTGAGGTCAAAACCTAAAATTTATATCACTTCATTAATTCAAAAATTTTCTCAAGTTCTAAAAACCATAAAACCTATAACCCCTCCCCCCACCTGTCAACTTTGAGCTAGAGCTTATCTCATCTCCCATAAGAGATATCAAAAATGTGTCAACTGATAAAACGTTGGTGATATTATGATAAACATTTTATCAGTTAACAATTTTTTGATACCTATTACAGAAATTGAGATAAAAAGACTTAAAGGGAGACGTGGATCCCCCCCCCCCCCCCTTGCGAGGTCTAATTACTTTGAGCTTATTTATCTCGGCTCCTATAAGAGATATCAAAATTTAGCTGATCTTATGATGAACAATTTATCAGTTAACTATTTTTTGATATCTTTCGCAGGAAAAAAGATAAATTGGCTCAAAGTTTGAAAGGGGGGGGGGGGCGTTTCTATTACAGGATTTACGGTAATAGGATCAAATGGGTATTTTTTTTGGATTTATTTTTTAATAATTATCAATGCTGATAAGCTAAAATTGATACTGATAAGTCTCTATATCTTTATCTAACTGTGTAAACTCGAAAAAGAAGGAGAAAAGCTGAGCAATGGGAAATCTCTCTAGGGGAAAAGAAATATGTCATACTAGGGGGGTCAATATTTACAAGTGGGAAGGGTTAAAGGGAGGAAGAAAAGGATGCAAAACGGAACATACAACACACTCTAAAATGCGCGAATAAGTGGTTTCAATGAGTGTATTGGATTTCGGGGATGGGACACAGGACAATAGAGACAAGTGTAAATGAGGTGGATGGATGATATGAGTCGATATGATAACATCTTTACCTTACTTTGAGCCGATATATCTAAGTTCCTGAGGAAGATTTGAAAAAGTTGTCAACTAACAAGCTGCTTAGAACAATAAAATGAGCAATTTGTTAGTTGACAACTTTCTGATATCTTTCCCAGGAACCGAGATAATTGGGCGTAAAGAGACAACCCCCCCCCCCCCCCTTACCTAGCTCCCCCAGGGTCCTATCGCTCTTTGAATGAAATTATCTCGGTTCCTGGGAAAGATATCAAAAATCTGTGAACTAATAAATTGTTTATGATAGTATCACCAACATTTTATCAGCTAACAACTTTTTGATATCTTTCGCAGGAACCGAGATAAAATGATTCAAAGAGGGCCCATCGGGAGGCGGAACCTTTCTTTTAGGATAGGTATTGGCAAAAAAAAATCGTCGCGTACATTGATTTACAACTTATACTGACTATTGTGGTACTAAAAACCTGGCATTTAAAGATTTGCGATTTATCAGGCTCCACCCCCAAAACTAACACCGTATCAAGCTATCGTATTCCCTCTATTAGAAGCCCAACTAACCTGTCAGGTCTGAGCTCAATTATCTCGGTTCCTGTGCGAGATATCAGCATTTTGTCAATTGACAAAATGTTTGTGTTATTATGATAAGCAATTTATCAGTTGACCACTTTTTGATATCTCTTACAAGGGCAAAGATATATGAGCTTAAAGCAAGCTGTCCTAGAATCAGCATTTTAACGCTATAAAGCTTATAGAACTAACCGGAAATGTTGTTTTATGGCTCAAACATTCTTTTTTGTTCAAGCCAATTGTCGGGGAGCACGAATTTCCCTCCTGAGCACCAAAAACGACGAATTCAAAGAGCAAAAAATGTGCGAACTGCCATTTTATATGCATTGTGCTCTCTCTCAGACTGCCTTTTGCTTCATTTTTCAATTTATTTCTTGAAAGAAGGTGAGAGAGAGAGAGAGAGAGAGAGAGAGAGAGAAAACTGGAAATGTGTGAAAATCGATGTTTTTAATGTTTCTAAATATCTGGAAATCTGAGAGTGAAAATGGTGAAAATGCAGAGGTTTAATAATTTTCGAAAAATCGGAAATTTTAGAAAATTTAGAAAATTTAGGATTTTCTGAATTTTTAGATTCACTTGATTTTCGGGATTATTCTAATTTTTTGGGGTTTTTGGTGATTTTTAGGGATTTTTAAAAAACCTTTTAGAAACTAAAATATTCCAAAAACTAAAAATGTGTAAAAATTAAAAATGGAAATTTTTCAAAAAAATTTAAATATAGTCCAATTCGGATAAAAATTGATATAACCTCAAAATAAGCTGAAAATTCAAAATCTGGGAAAAAAATACCAAGCAGGGCCTGAGTTTTTTTGAAATCAATTTTTTTCAAAATTTTGAAAAGTTTTCTAGAATTCTCTAGAAATCAAAAATTGCCAAAAAAAGACACACTATACAAAAAAAAATGTGCCGCTTTTTGAGAAAATCAAATTTGCCAAAGATTGACAAACAGAAAAACAACAAAAAAATTTTCAAGAATTTTTTTTCATGTTTTTCTTCTTCCTAGTACTTGAGCATATCTCTCTAAATCTCTCCAAATCACACACTATTTCTTCATTTTCTTATATTTTTCGATTGCTCAGCGGAAAAAAAAACGGAGCATGAAAAAAGAAATTTTCCGTAGAATTTTACGGAAAATTGATAAGGAAAATGATAAAAAGAGATAGATAGGCACAACACGGAGTACTTGAGAAAATTTGAAAATTCCAAAAAAAAAGAAAATTCCCAAAATATCCTAAAAATCTAAATTCCTGAAAATCCGAAAGTTCTGACTTCAAAGAAACTTTTTTTTTTCAAAAATTCCTCAGAATTCTGAAAGTCTGAATTTCTCAAAAGAAAAATAAAAAACTTCTCATTAGTGTGCTCTTTCTGGCTCCAGAGAGCTCAATACGGGAGAAAAAAGAAACGAAATGAAAATTGAGAAGACGTTAAAAAGAAGACGTCAAGAAGTTAGAAGACCCAAAAGAAAAACAATTTCGTAGATCAAATTTTTATAATGATTTACAACAAAACAACTATTTAAAAAACTGTCTGAAATTCTGAAATTTTTTTCCACATTTTTTAATTTAAAATAACTTTTTAATAAAATTCTAATAAGTGGGCAATTATAGAGGGGTAATTATAGGAAATATATAATTTCATTATTAAATTTTCAATTTATTTTTGAATTTCTGGACTTTTGAATATTTTTTTTCTAATTCTGAAATTCTCAAAAATTCAATTTTCGGATAATTAAATTCCAAGAACTTCATTGGCACCGACCGATATGTGGATTTTTGAGGTTTTGAATGTTTTTCAGATTTTCAAAAAATTCAAGAACTTCAGATTTTCTGGAATTTCAAGAATTTAAAAATGTTTAAAGAATTTCAGAATTTTTAGATTTTTTGAATTTGAAATTTTTTCTAATTTTCTAAATAAAGTTTGCTATATTTTCCAAATTCCGGCTACCAGTTGGTTTAGGCCCGTTCGGGGCTAAACCTCCTGGGTTCTGGTCGCTCTCCACCATCTCTCCTGTCTGCCC